TTAACTGAAAATGAGATTTAACCCGGTGGCAGTGGTACTACATAAGCTACAACACACAAACAACACATATCACACAAAATAACACACCACGCTCGAGAAAAACACAGCATACAAAACTACACAAACAATAGGGGACACACTACACACAATGAATACAATGCAAATACAATTGCAACTACAATTATATAAATTAATATTAGTAAAAACATAAGCATGCCGGGCACGGTAGCTGAGCGGTCTAAGGCGTGCACTGTCTGCTCGCTCGGAAGCCGAGATCGTGGGTTCGAATCCCAATCAGGGCATGGATGTTTGTGTGCGTTTTTCTGTGTTTGCGTACAGGTAGAGGCCTTGCGACGAGCTGATCATCCGCCCAAGGAGTCCTACCGTATGTCTAAGATCTAGAAAAACCGAAGTGAACGGAGAAGTTCACTGGCCCTCGCCAGTATACTCATTCTTGCTTCCAAGTCCCGGTCACGACTCTGGGAGTTGGGTACGTCAACGCCCAATATACTAGTGCACCAGAAAATCGGCAATGAGCCACACAAATGATGTCCACACGTGAACATCCATATGATCTAGAGATATTCACGAAATATGTTTTCGCGCGCAATGGGAGCATCGGAAATTATGTTCATAAAATATTAAACAGAAATAAGAAACAAGGAAAAGTAGGAATCCGTGTACATTCTCTCCGAATATTCTCGAGTTCTACCTGAAATTATGGTCATTCTTGTTACAGGAGCCAGCAGACGAAGTATTCGAGATGTTAGACCGCAAGAAGAAGGAGACACTGGCCTACAAACGCTCCTTCTTCGTGCGCATGGTCAGTGATCCAAAGATCTATAACCCAAAGATCGCCAAGACACTGTCACGTTCCAGACATCGCCACGTCACCGACACCGGCGCTACTGTTGATAACGGCGTCAGTATCCAGACACCAATGTAAGAGACTCTCTTACGGGTTTTAAATATGATTAAATCACTGCGCCGACACAGCATATTGTCTGAAGCATATGTAATACCAAAATATTTTGGGAGTTGTGTCTCCGTTATAAAGATGACTGGCTGTCATTATACTGACAGGTTTACCTTTACCACGAGTATCGGAGCACACGGTGCCTCCAACTCCTACTCTTAAGATTAAGGCAGGACTTTCCACCAGAGTGCCAGTAAACATCTACCAGACTACATGGAGCCACATCCTTCGTGGTACATATATCTACTGACACTTTTAATTTCAAAAATATAAAGAATACTAGTGACAGCCATGTGTGGATTCTGTTAATAACAAATGTTCTGCACATTCAGTTATAATTTTAGGTTTAATACCCCGAAGATGCAAGATTTTTCTCCTCTCAACGTCGTCCCACCCAGCCTCCTACCCAAAGGGTACCGGAGGTAAAGCAGCCAGGGAGTGAAGCTGACCACTCACATCCACTCCTCCACAAGCGTTCATGGCGCACGGGCACGACTTCACTTGTACCTTACCCCATTTGCTTCCCAATAAGTTAGAAACTTGCTTCAAAATACAAGTACATCTTAAGTTCCTACAACATTTAAAATATTTTCACAAACTCTTGTGCACAATGGAATGGATAGTTCAGAGAGTACATAGACTGAGAAACGGGCTGCACGATTGGATTTCGATCCCCGGTAGGAGCAGAGATATTTGTCCTCGTCGTCACGTCTTGACTGGCTCTGAGACCTATCCTACGATTACCGGGGAGTAACGAGTAATGCAGATGTTAAGAATACATTAAGCTATACCTCCACTCCCCCCTTACGTCTCCGTGAACTGGGGCTTAACTAAGCACATGGACAGCTTCATTTTTATTCTTGTATGCGAGTAAGGACATGCTCAGAAGGCACGATAGAGAGTGGAACTGGTCCTTAGTTCGTTAGTTAGTCCTGCCATAGTTCCAGCTCCATAGCTTCCCACAGCGGCGGGCGGGTTCGACCCCAGGCCAAGTCATGTGGCATCTTTGGTGGACAAATTGGCACTGCGACAAGTTTCCTCCGAGTACTTCGGTTTCCCCTGCCAATCTTCATTCCACCAATTGCTCCACAATCACCATCATCTGTCATCTGGGGCTGGTACAATAGGCCAGTAGTGGCCGCAGCACCAAGTGGACTCAGTCTCACCCCACTAATAATGAAAAAATAAACATATAAAAATTGGTTTAGTTGGCCGTGCCACAGCTCAGGTGGTATTAGCTGGCTTCCCACGGCAGCGTCCCGGGTTCGACCCCAAATCAAATCATGTGGGATTTGTGGTGGACAAAGTGGCACTGAAACAAGTTTCCTCCGAGTACTTCGGTTTCCCTTGTCAATTCTCATTCCACCAAATGCTCCATACTCCTCTGTCATCTCGGGCTGGTACAATAGGCAAATTAGTGGCCGACGTAGCAAGTAGACTCAGCCTCACTCTATCCCACGAACTAGGCAGTTCGTTAACATGTAGGTATATTCAATTAATTTGTTAGCTAATAAGTCGGACAGTAGTGAGTTGATTTACTCGTAGTTATTCAGACATAGATCGATTAATTGAAGAGTACCGTCTTCGGGGATGTGGCGCCGTGTACATATTATGTGAACCGACGTTCCTCCGAAACTTCGGTTCACACAAGACGTACACGGCGCCACATCCCAGAAGAATTCTTCATAGTCACCATCGTGAAAACTTCAAATCTTACGATTAAGAGAAGTTCAAAAATATATCGCTTACAAATTACCGTCACATTTATGCTTGCGTTTCAGTGCTTCTTGGATCAGTTGGCCATTGGCGTTTCTTTTCCAAGGTGTTTTCGATGAGGTGTCATCCAGCGAGGTGCCCGTCAGGTAAGGGATAATATATATATAATGTGCTGTCACGTGTGCCGTTTTTTTTCCCTTGGCACTACAGCCCCAGTGGGCCTAGGCCTACCACCATGAACTTCTCCGTTCATTTCGGTTTTTCTAGATCTTACACATTCGGTAGGACCCCTTGGGCGGGTGATCAGCTCGTCGCAAGGCCTCTACTTGTAGACAAACACATAAAAACGCACACAAACATCCATGCCCTGAGTGGGATTCGAACCCACGATCCCGGCTTCCGAGCGAGCGAAGACAGTGCATGCCTTAGACCGCTCGGCTACCGTGACGTGTCCCGGGTTACATGACTAAAAATGATTGGTTCTGGACTGGATGATTAGATTTATTAACACTTCTTTTACAATCTCTCTTAATCACAATCAACAATAGCGCTGCCGCTAATCTACCCATTTCCTTTGACCTGTTGAATATTATGCCAGTGCGCTCACCACTAGACCATCTGTAAGCTGCCGCTAAAGCAGCCTCCGTAGTCTAGGGGTAACGTTCCCACCTCATAACTCGTGGTATGCGGGTTCAAATACCCGGCGGAGGTCATCGAATTTTTAAGTGCGGAAAAATTCAGGGAACAAGTCCTCCGGGAGGGACTTTAAGCTGTGTGTTCCGTGTCATTACTTTACGGCACGTAAAAGAACCTCATATCCCCAAAAGGGGATCACTGAGCCAAATTCCAGGACGTTTCCCGCCCAACAGTAGTCTCTAAGGCCTCTGATAGATGGGGGAAGCATTATAGACACCGCTAAGCAAGTGGCCGAACTCGCTTGCTCGGCGGGACTGATGGTACGCACCATTTATCGGTAGGGTAAAGAGACTGGTAGAATATCATAGAGGGAAGCACAATAGATCAAACTGGTCGCGGTGCATGAGGAAACCCACCCTCTCTAAAATAACTAACTAACTAACCGGAGCGTGATGTGCTTCGGCCTGGAGTTAAGTTGGGGTACTTTGTGGAAGCGGAAAGCTTACGTTTACTCTCGTTTTCTGTTTATGATCTAAGCTCCACTTGTTTCATTCTGCTGGCAGATGGGTTTATTTGCATTTTCGTACGCCGATTTCCAACCATTAACTACTTAAACGAGTGCTGTAATAGTGTGTACTACAAACCTTACATGTAAGCACACAAATATGCACTTTCTTTATTATTTAAAGATCACGCCCTGAAGATGACGACACAGCGTTTTAAGAATATGATGTCATTTAGTAAAATACCCCTAAAAAAGGAACAGCAGGCCTATATTATTCTTAAACACTTCTAAAAAACTTCTGCGTAGTAACCATATTTAGCTCCCTTTCTTAGATACAGAAATAGACTTCTTCGAAAATGTTTAAAGCATTTAATCTGTGGTCCTCACGTTGTTTATATGAGACCACACAAGTGCAGTTCCTACTCGCGTCTGTCAAGTTTGCATGCGTCTGATCGGATGACTGAATGTTTTCGTTGAATTCGCTCTTTGAAACGCAGACCGTCGCGAAGATGTGAGGACACTACGGAATCTGTTTACTAAATGTACTGTCACGTGTCCGGGGTTCCGTGAATAATACTACCGGTCCTGGATTGGATGATTGGATTTATTCACGCCTTCTTGCTCTCTTCTGAACTCCCTGCTGAACTGAACTACTCAAAGTCAAAGTCACATTGCGCCTGACGGTCAGTCAGTCAGTAAGTTTGGTGTTGAGCCCCATCAGGGTCTCATGACCAGATATTAATTATTACCGTTTAACAGTTACGGTCTTGTTTCTGTGGGGCGCCCTCCCTGACTAGAGGACGGGTATGTCTTTTGTATGTGCTGCTGGTCCTTGAGAGCACAGTTTTTCTCGTGTCCGAGTCCCTTAGGCCTCGCGACCATTCTTTCTGCCTCAGATTTGAGATTTCCCTTTTCGTCGCCTCCTACGACTCGCAGGGTCACGGTGGAGGTATTCGACACCTCCTCCACACGGGGTTCGCGTTCTTATGTCTCGGGAAGAACCGAATAGAGATCACCACGCCAACAATTCCTCTATTATTGTGTCCTTATTCGCTGCTGCGGAAACGTGTGTTAATTTCGTGGCAACGGTCTGGTTTCCACAAGCCTATTCATTGATGCGGAAACGTGTCTAGTAATGGACGTCTCTGCAGTGCTTCTCTGACTGCACACTTCCGGCGTTCATGCGTCATGTCAGTATTAAATCTAAATAATATTAAAATTTTAACTTCCTATCTAACAGAAAACACCATGTCTCCATCATAAAGATCGATTAATTCTATTCATGTATACGATCGCTATTTATCCTGAGAATAATAAGCAACACATAAATACGGGAACACTTTCCGTATGCAAAAGGAGGAGTTACTGAACGTGTAAATATAGTCACTATTGTAAAGGCACATAGGGGGGAACGTGTAAATAATGTTTAGTTATTTATTTTTTTTCAAAATTAATACCGAGCTCTTCTCAACCTGTTATTACTAAGTATGTTATTATTAAGGAATGAATGTCGTACACTACAATATGTTGAAGACATGAAGATCAACACGGAATGACAAGTATTTATACGCTGCACTCACAAGAAGGAACTGCAGACATTTATTTAAGTGTTCATTACAGAAGATATCAGTTTAGCGCGGCTACTGATGTACTTTACGTGTAAAGTTATTTCAGATTCATCTCAGTGAAGATTTAAAGAGTTAATGCATTCAAACTGAAGTTACTAAATATTTGGACCTTAACGATTCGCGGTAGACCTACGCGTATAGTGAGTTGATTTAATTGTGTGAATGTATTTAATCTTACACAATATCACGATGCACTTGTTAGCACTACATCGATACAACATGCATTATTACACAACGAATGATGCATGAAACCACATCATTATAGAATATCACTAAAAAGTGGTGGGTAAGGAACGTAAAAATAATGTTTAGTGAACTGTATCGCAACAGGCTGCTTCAATTTAAATGGGTTGTCCCGTATCACCGAAATTCAGATCGTCGATAATCGAAGTGTTTATCTTCGGTCTGCAAAGACCAGCAATAAAACTAAGACTAGTTGGGGCTTCTGCCTCCATGTGACAACACCACGCATGTTTAGTCAGTCGCACCGCTGCCTGATGTAAGCACAGATGCGCCTTGCGGCCCACCTTCACATTCCAGTCTCAAGGTACACACTGTTTTAGAAGCTGTGGCGCGCTCTATCTTGAATGCAAAGACTATAAATTTTTTACTGAGTCTGAATAAATGTGAATTGCCATAATTCGATCTAAGAAATAACGGGTAAAGTGAAGCAAATAAAAAAGGCATCAGTGAAATGTTAATTATTTTCATACCTCCTTATATGTATTTCATTTCTTCCGTTTCTCTGGTATACCTTGCTTTCATGTTTACTGCTCTTCTGACACACTAATTATCTGCATTTTAGCATGCAGGGTAATGCAAGCACATGCCTGAAGTTTCGACACTGACAATCATACGGCTCAAAAGGGATCTGGCTGTCAGAGGTTATGAAGTACCTACATCTTCAGGGATGGAAGCAGCATTTTCCTTCGAAACTTTGGTACCCACCCACCAGACTACAAAACAATAACCCAGAAAGCCAAAATATGGACTTCAAACTGCTGTCTTCTTAACACGGCGCCCTGAATAAGAAATATATTTATACAGGGTGTTTCACGACTTTATGGCATAACTGAAGGAGATGATTTCCTAGGTCTTTGTGATCAAAAAAGTTCATATAAACACGTGTCCGATTTCGGACGGTTACGGAGTTATGACCGTTTTTTACCGTTTTTTCGGGTACACGCCCTCGTGTGAACCGCGTCTGTCAGTTGGCGGGTCGCTATCTTTAGCCACCTACAAACAGAGCGTTCTCGTTATCTCAACACTTGAGAGCTACGTAAGGAGGGGTGGGTTGGTATGTCCGGCGCGGTTCACAACCGAGCGGCAGCCTGTGTTGCGGCCGGCGGTGGCATTTTCGAAAATCAACTTTAGGCATCAATAAATTCAAATTAAAGGTAATTTCACGAAGTCAACTTTACATTCATACTTCAAATGTATCATATATTATGCTGGTTTATTATTTTGTTCCGTTTATTGTCAGTAATCGTTACCTTCTATTTTGAGTTTAAACCCGGTCATAACTCCGTAACCGTCCAAAATCGGACACATGTTTATATGAAATTTTTTGATCACAAAGACCTAGGAAATCACGTCCTGCAGTTATGCCCTAAAGTCGTGAAACATCCTGTATATTCAAAATATATGTTATTCGTTACTGCTTAAGAGACAGCTTTCAACAATTTCCAGTTCCCCTTCTTTCACTTTATGTTTCTGTGAATTCATGGGATTACACGCCCAAAGTAAGGAAGCCGAGGGGCCAAATCAGGACACAATAAAAGCAGGGCCTATTGTACTCTGCAGGTTCCGACACCTGGATACGATGGTCCGCTTGAAGGCGGGTCGAGAAGGCACCCAATCACCATCAATGTCACCAGAACGAGAGAGCAAGTCACCCAAGAGATCACCCATCATGTCCAGGAAGACATCCCCGTCGAAGGATCAATGAAACACTATCATCCCGGAAATTACGTATTATGAAGCCTTGGTAGGAAATTCAAAAGCGGTATCGGGAAGTCCAGTACATACACTCACATTCAGGGAGATTACCAGTCACACACATTGCTGCAATTCCTCTCGAGTTCATACGAAGTGTGTGTAACCTAATTAAATCAACATTTCTTAGCTATAAAGACTTTAGAACTGTCACCATCCGAACGTTCGAGCTAATACCATAAATTTTTAATTTCTATGTATACGGATGCAAATTCCAGGTCAATTTACCTGTCTTTTCTTGTGCAGATCTCTAACGGCACTTCGTATTCTTAAAATCATCCAAATCTACTAATTATAATTTAAATCTGAAGGTCACATAATTACGTTCCACATTATCCGTTGCCTTAGGTATATATATATTATACATGATGTTTCGAGTGTCAGTAGTATTCCCGTCTTCAAGTAACATGCCGGAATATATTTTTATTTTATTTTAAATATAAATAGTAAAGTAAAAAAAAGTAAAGCTATCCCTGTAGCAGGCCGTGAAGGCCCATAGGGTTGTGAGACGTTGAGGGTCCCACATTATCTAGACAATCGGCTCAAAGATGGTGGTAAGGCTGTCAGCCTTACGCGCCGGCCGCGCTTTACTCCTCAGGAAAATTATTTAATTAATTCCTGGTACTCATTTCTGTCAAAGGCTAAGTCGACACCAGGGCCATAGTGCGGCTGGAAGGATCAGGTCAACTGAAAAAAATCCAATGACCTCGTCGGGACTTCGACCCGCGACCTTCCAGCTTGTAGCATTGTGCCTCAACCAACTACGCTACCGAAAGTAGCGACGGAATTTAATAGGGTAGCCAATGAGTATCAAATCTGTATGCTTAATAACAGTCCACCTTCATTATCAGAAATGTTTCATCTTGATCCCGACCTATTGTCATTAAAATAGAAACCAAAACCAATAAAAATATACGTGCAATTCAGTTTACGGAGAAACAATCGCCTCTAGACGGAGACACAGTCAAATCCGAAATGTCCTGTACACTAAATATACCTCAGACAATGGAAAATGTCCAAGAAAAATGAGGCATAATGAATCAGCAACTGCCGCACTCTTTAGGAGTAGTGGTTTCAATAATGTGGTCAGCGCAAACCACTGGCTCGCGAGCTTCGTTCGAGTGGTTCGCAGAACAATGGAAATACTAAAGACATGAACCAAAATTAATATAGAATATATGATAAGTAATAAAGAAGTGACAATATGCTTGTGGAATAAATTAAGTAGTGTACGCATTGTTTTATTCTCACCTGTTTACTTCTATGCCAATTACGTTAATCCATAATGCACTCCATAACAAAACGAATGTTTAAATTAGGCATGCAAAGATACGTATAACCCCTGCAAATTTAAAACTGAGAATGTTAAATATCGAGTACCAAGAAATCACTCCATTTACGTATATCGCACCATACGTACGGCAATGATTTTCAAAGCAGTAGGAAATACTTCAGTAATATCGCTTCACTCCAAATTATAGCGATGAACTTTAAAAATATTTGCCAACAATCTGCATTGATTAAAAGCTGACATGTTTCACGCCACACTACAGGCACATGGTTCAGTGTCTGCGTGCTGTTTCAATGGGAAACAAGGTTTAATTTACTGTCATCTTTTAAAGAAAAGTGAGGACGTTGTTGGTTTATAAAAAGGATAGCAGTCAAGGTCTAAAAACAGTTTTGTGGTCAAAGACAGAGATATAAAATATAAATTAATAAACGATCAAATCGACAAATAGTTAAGAAAAAAAGATACAACAGTAAAGGAACATATAGCCACAAACGACACATCGGGAACAAATGCATTTCTAGCAGGAGACAATTCAATTTCCGGTAATAGAAATGTATCGAAACGCAGGAAATCAGCAAGACAGTACGACAAAAACTATATTAATTCTGGCTTCACGCGTATCGACGGACAAAATGAAGCAATACCGCAATATGTATTGTGCTATGCACAATAAGCAACGGCAAAAAGTTCGGCGCCATTTCGAGATATTTATACTGTCTTAAAAATATCCTCAGAAACGAAGTGTTGAGGTGGACCTTTTCAATTGACCTAATTCTTTCAGCCGCACTATGGCCCTGGGGTCGATTCAGCCTCTAACAGAAATGAGTACCAGGAATATTCTTTGGGGTAAAGGGCGGCCGGCGCGTAAGGCTGACAACCTTGCCGCCATCTATGAGCCGACTGTCTAGAAAATGTGGGAACCTCAACATCTCACAACCCTATGGGCCTCCGCGGCCTGTTACAGGGACACCTTTACTTTACTTTTCACTAAACGAAGTGAAGTAACAGAAAAGAACAATGTCTACAGCAGCAGCAACAACAAAAACGACAATAATAACAACACCTGAAGCTTCACAACGTGTCTACCTTTGTGTCAGTATTGCGAGGAAGTCTAATACTACAGTAAAAGAACTTATTCTGCCTGCAGTCAAAGAACTTGCATTCGTGGAGACAGCGAAACAGCGGGATTGTGTGCCATGTTCAAATAATACAGTATCACACTGAATGCGAGATATGGCAGCCAGTGTTAAAGGCACTGCGCAATAGCAAACATTTTGCATCGCTGCCTGACATCACAGACTCATCAAATCTTGCGCACATCAGGTAGGAAAGGGAGGGAAAATTACTTGGAGATATTTGGTTACGTCATCCGGCAAATACAAGAATAAACCTCCGAAAAAATCTTAAAAATACTACGTGATATTCTCAAGGAACACGGTATTGACTGGTAACGAAACACTGGAACATCCACTAGCGGTGCATGGACAATGACTCTGGAGGGGTGGGAGGGATGTGAATTAGCAGCTCGTATTCACAAAGTGATCCCTACGGTTATACGGGTGTATTGTTGTATTTAGAGGGAAACAAAAGAAAATTCCATCGGAAATGAAGGATGTTGCTGACACTATTGTGGAAACTGTTGATCTCATAAAAAATAAAGCACGAATTCAAAATTTGGCCGTATACTGCGTGAAGAAATGGGCAATGCTCATTTGTAACTTGTCTTTCACACCGAAGTAATGCGGCAGTAAAAGGTTAAAGAAAGTAAAACTATCCCTGTAAAAGGCCGTGGAGGCCCATAGGGTTGTGAGACGTCGAGACTGCCATAGTTTCGAAACAATCGGCTCACAGATGGCGGTGCGGATATCAGCCTTACGCGCCGACCGCCCTTTACCTTCCAGGAAGATTCCTGGTACTCATGTCTGTTACAGGCACAGTCGACTCCAGGGTCATAGTGTGGCTGAAAGGATTAGGTCAACTGAAAAATCCAACGACCTCACTGGGAATCGAACCCGCGACCTTCAGGCTTGTAGCATAGTGCCTCAACCAACTACGCTATCGCTTGCGCCAGTGGTCAAGACGTAAAGAATTTACTAGTTTGTGCGAACTACACACAGAAGAAGAGCTACTTCCACCAGAATCTTCACTTCAATTCAAGAATTGTTTTGAAGATTCGTCCTAGCGCTCGAGATCAGGTTAGTTACCATATACTCGCACGTATATTCCCAAGCCTGAAATACTTACACGTTGACCCTCATGGGATTCCAGTAACAATACTGAAAGTGAGAAAATTGGTGTGATGATTAAGAAACTTCACATACTTCTCCGGCTTAAAAAAAAAAAACAAATTTCAGCCCATTTCCAACATGCGATGTTTTCTTTCTGAAAATGAGTTGGACCTTACTAAAAACATAAAAAATAATGAATAATGCCGTCTTTTGATATGTGGCGCCATGTAGATATTGTGTGAACCGACGTTTCGGAGGAACATATCGCCTCCATCTTCATGGTAGAAAAATCCGCGAGCGAGGAACTAGCGTGAGCAAATGGCTGCAGTCGGTTCACATAAGATCTACATGGCGCCACAGTCCAGAAGACGGTATTCTTCATAGTCACCGCCGTGAAAACTTCAAATCTTACATAAAAGAATTGTGTTAGAGAACATCTAAATCTGAAGATCACTTTCCACCAGAAGCAGAGGCAAATAATTGAATATGTAACCCTTTTGACATTGAAACAGTGTGCAGCCATCTAACTTGTAAAGCAAATCACAAGAGTGATTGCTGGAGTTGTCATGGGATGTAACATAACGCATAGAATTTCAAATTCATTCTCTAATTTCAATTTTGAATTCGAAGAAGTGGGGTGTACCAGGAAGTTTCAGACCGAATAGTAAGTACATTTTCTGATGTCATCTACTACGACGCAGCTGTGTTTTAATTCAAGTCCAAATACAGTAGCAGGACGAATGATGAATCTGATCCAAGAGTCACGACCACATACCTTACGCCGAACAACTATACATCCACTACCCGATAAGCCTTCATGGCGTATGCTTAATTAGTTAAGCGCAGGGCAACTTTACCTTTACCTGAACATTTAAAATACTTGAGCTTATCAAAATAAATACCTGAGTATGAATGTTGCTATCTCATTTACAGTTCTTTTTGTTGAACGTTCCTGTTTTGGCCTACACTGTATAATTTTTTTTTCCCTTTGGCGCTGCAGCCCCAGTGGGCCTAGGCCTATGTCCTTGAACTTCTCCGTTCACTTCGGTTTTTCTAGATCTTACACATTCGGTAGGACTCCTTGGGCGGGTGATCAGTATAATTTTATTATTTTCTTAAATATACGAATCAAGTAATTAAACAAGCCAGCCTTTCAATTATGTACAAGTAAAAACTTCAAACCATCCATTTCAGTTAGTCACTAATATTGTTATCTTGTTGTATTCGTTAATTAATTATTTGTTTACTTCAGACTTATTAATGCAGCTTTCGTAAATGTTCAATGGCTGTGCGGTTATTGCCAGACTGCAATATTTCATTCAGTCATTCATTCTTCAGGTATATCACGTCTTAAGCCGTTTCAATGTATTGTACTGTTATCGAGTGAGGCACCAATTAAAATCAAATAAAAGCTGAAAGTTCAAAATTAATTAAAATAAGATTAAAACTGAAGCATGTAATTATTCCAATTGTATTACTCTGGAGGGCTGCGCTCAGGTTAGTTCTGCTGCCGGTGTCTCACATGTCACGGTTGTAGGGTTCGTGACGAAGAAAGAGGTGCCTTTTGGAGGCTGAGTGGGTGGCGCGCCTAGTCATATGTGCATTTCAGTGAAGTTATGCTGTCGCTGGTCCTTATTCATTGGGCGTGGAGTTCGTGGCTTGTGAGCGAAAACAGCCTTCACTCAGCCCATGAAAGATAAAGACAAACTTAAATTTCTGCCATGTTAGGAATCACTTGGACAGAGAGATGGCTGGGGGATAGATCGCCAGAAGTGGGTCAATCGCTTGGCCTCCCAGGTCGCCAGATTTAACCCAACCGAATTTTTTCTTGTGGGGTTATGTGAAGAACATTGTCTGCCAGGTTAAGACCAACGACCTGCAACACCTGAAAGCCCGAATAAGGGACTCTGTGGCTGTGGTAACACCAAACATGCTGGATCGTCTGGATATTTGTCGTGTCACCAAGGGAGCCCACGTTGAAATTTATTGAGAAAGTTCTATACTCAGAAAACACTTTGATAGTTTCCTTTTGTAGTGGTGTAACCCATAAATGCGTATAATAAAAGCGTTCTGAGATATACATCCTTCAATCGTTGAACAAAGTAGTGGCTGAAATAGAGATCATTTCCCATTATGGCCTCTGTAACCATTGCCACTTCAAGTACAAAATTTCCGTTCACTTCAGGCTCGCTGTTAAGCTAGAGTATGTAAGAATGATCCGGTTATTCGACTGCAGGTATTTCCAAATATTTGGAACGTATGATGAAGGTAACTTTACACATTACGTTTAATTCTCTGATCTCAAAGAAACATTGAGTTTATTCTTGTTTGTAGCCCGAACGAATTCACAAGATAACTGCCTGTTAGTCGTAAGAGAAATTACAAAGAAAATTACTTATTCTGGTTACAAATTTATATGCTTTATATCGAAATCGTATCTTAATTTCACAATATAAAATATGTATATATAAATAGAACACAATATCAACTAATAAACAGAAGGTACTCGTGTGTTAATATCTTCTATGACGAAGTAGACGTGCTTTGGGATAAACCCATCCAAGTCGTGACATACATTATTTTGCGACAGAACGCTCTAAATTCGCCATGAAATTATGTAGCTGTTCCAAAGTAAGTTTTAACAGTTTTCCACGGAGCCATTTATAAGGAACATCATTCTATAACCCATATCTAATTTCATGGCAAATGTAGAGAGTCGCGACACAAAACAGGTTTCGTGTGTTACGAAACCGGGTAGGTATATCCTACCACGGAGCAGTGCAGGTCCATAACCGCGCCGTTCCTACAGGTTACATGTGTAACATCATTTCCGCCAAATGTGATGATATTGCTTCTTTAATCTCACTGACCTCGTAAGTTTGTGGATTCGTCAACAACTGAACACCTGTGTGTAGATATTTTGTTAACCGACATTTCGGAGGAACGTCGGTTAACACAATATATACTGGGGCCACATCCAAGAAGACGGCTTTCTTCATAGTCACCGCTGTGAAAACCTCAAATCTTACATACATTCAATAATATTTCTAACACCCTGAATCTGCCATGTTATTATAGTGATGTAATTTCATTCACAGTCTTTCGTGAAACTGAAGGGTTAACATATTTTTTCTTGTGTTTATTATGCTAAACTTGAATATTTCAATGTGTATGTACTCGTATAATTATGACTGCACAATGATGTACTCAGAGACTTTCTGCTACATGCATTCATCTTTTGAAGTCTAAATAAACATAATTCGCAACGTCACCAATTGGTATAAAAATTATTTGAGACATATGCATGACTGTTTATCGTTACTCCACACATACATCACCCCCCCCCTCTCAAGTTTCGTAAATTCTTACAATCGTCACAGAACTGGGATTAAGAAATACATTCGGCCCACCGTGACGGATGAGTCAAATGACACTGGTGGTGTGTACGATTTTAGCCCCAGTGCAAATTTAGAAGCACATGTTGTTCGCCCGGGATATGGTTGGTTTCCTTGTCATTATAACAACAGACAGTAGCTAAAAATTAAAAACAGGAATAATATTTAAATAATAAATTAAAGCATTAGAAAGTAATACAAATACTCTACTGCAAAGCTTACACATCGCTTTAACAGCCGTGGCAACCAGACATGAGACTTTTATAGGAAACAGCAAAAGAAGAGTTACATTTCCTTCCATCTCATATCTCTCTCGCTTGGTATGTACGAGTATATACAGTAAAACTTGGTTATAGCAACATCGGTTTCTGCGACACCTTGTCTATTGCGTCAAATATTCAGTTGTACGAACTAATTCCTCATAAAGCAACTGTTTTTATACCTTGCTTAGTACGACATGCACAAATGCATCAACCTCGTATGTAACGTCATTTTCATTCCTGAATTTCTCTGATATGGACATTGAACGTAATTTAGAAAGTGTGTATTGGGCAAGTAACAGGAAACAGATGAAGATAACTGATTACTGTACTCGTATCTAGGTACAGTAAGGCACAACAATTGATGTAATCTACTGTAATTTGGTGAGTAGGCCTACCTTTAATATACAGTATTAGTGCGGTGTGTATTGTCAGTGAAAAGCGCTGTAATATGTCTTTGATATTACACATTTGGGCAATTCCACGTTAATGTTACGTTAGTCTGTACTTAACTACGTATTTCACTAAAAAATGCAACATTTTAACTCGGTTTTTGGTAGATTTTTACGTGACTAACATAAGGCTACTGTGGAAGTGCCCATTTCGGTTACAACGACATTCGTTTATAACGACACTATTTTTAGGTCCCTTTGATGACGTTATAACCAAGTTCTACTGTATATATATATACATAACATTTTGTAACAGTGAGTGAAAGCTTTGAAATTATCGTAGCAAAGAACTGTCAAGCGTTGCCACGTTGAAAGTATGTAAGTTAGGGAACAGATGACGAACGAGAGAACAATCTTTTGTTTCAGGGTGTCGTGCATATTCTGTGAGTACTATGTGCAAGTATAACAGATAAGGGCTTCCCCATTAACCTCTATCAGATAAACTTTTAATTAATTAGTGATAAAATAATTCTTATCTTCATAACAAATCTTCTATATAATCCAACTATTATTATGATCCTTTGCAGAAAACTTTGTTTTTGTAAGTTAGAGGCCAATGGATTCTCTTAATGAACATCTCTGTGGTCTGTTAAACACGCCAACAACCAAATATTTTTTTCAAGACTGTGAAACATGAATCTTTGAATTGCATACAAGAATGTTAATGCACGTTGTTGGCAATGTATGACGTTATTTAAATGTTATTTTATAAGCAAGACTGTTTTACGAAAATTTCTCTTTCATTAAATATGTACAATCATGAAAAATGATTCAAGGTGATTTCTTTTGTATTACTAAGTATTTACCATTGAGGATGACACTGTAAGTGTCGAAACATGTCGGGACAATGATAAATTTAAACTAATTTCAAAAACGTGTCTTGTAACTGACTGCACTGTAATAACAAACAGCTCTATGAACTATTTTTTTCCCCCTTGGCACTACATCCCCAGTGGGCCTAGCCCTACCTCCATGAACTTCTCCGTTCACTTCGGTTTTTCTAGATCTTACACATACAGTAGAACTCCTTGGGCGAGTGATCAGCTCGTCGCAAGGTCTCTACCTGCAGACAAACAAAGAAAAACGCACACAAACATCCATGCCCTGAGTGGGATCCGAACCCACGATCCCGGCTTCCGAGCGAGCGAAGACAGTGCACGCCTTAGACGGCTCGGCTACCGTGGCCGGCTCTATGAACTATAATGGGGCACAACTCAATATAAAAACAGGATTCCTGTATTAATACTATCAGTTTACCGTTGATTTCAACGGCCCGATTTCTAGTTTATCCCATGTATTAGACGTAATAAATAGGCCTATAATGTGTCCGCTTACTTTTGGTGTAATTTTAAAGTTTTGCTGTTTCATTGCAAGTACATGAGATACGTGTAAAAGCAAAATGAAATATCCAGTGATATGTTAATACTGAATGTAATAAAAAGGTAAGTGGTCGTAACGAAACAAAGGAATAAGTTCACGTTAGTTGTACTGTAAGCTTATACTGTGAGCATGTGCATAACAACTCGTCCGTAAACTGGGTGGCTACGGCCTAGGCGACCGGGTTCGGTACCTTGAATGTCCAAACGCGCGTTTTATCTTCAACTCCACCAAAAAGTCTTCATGAAATGGCACTCAGATAAGGGGCAAATCTGGAAGTGAGCACCCACCTACTTACATGGCGTCATAACCCGGAAGACCACAACATGAAGTCCAAGAATAGTCCACTGATAACTAAAGTAACACGTTGAAAAAGGCCGCACCATAGCTCAAGCGGTTAGTCGTTGGCTTCCCACCGCGGCGGCCCGGGTTCGATGCCGAATCTGGACAAATGGGAATTGTGGTGGACAAAGTGGTGCTGGGGCAGGTTTTCTCCGAGTACTTCTGTTTCCTCTGCCAATCTTCATTCCACCAATTGCTCCACATTCACCCTCACCTATTATCTGGGGCTGGTACAATAGGCCAGAAGCGGCCGCAGTACAAGGGGCTTAGTCCCACCCCACTAGCAATAGAACTAAAAAGAAAAACACGTTGAAATATCCTGGCATTTATAATATCAAACAAGAAGAATGGTGTAAGATTTGAGGTTTTCACGGCGGTGACTATGAAGAATGCCATCTTCTGGGATGTGGCGCCGTGTACATACGAGTATAGTGTAAACTGACGTTTCGCAGGAAAGTATCGTCTCCATCTTCAGGGTAGTATAATCCGAGAGCGAGGAACCATCGTGAGCAGGTGGCTGCACCTCGAAATATGGTATGCCACGAAATTGGGAAAGTTCGTCCCTATGGAAATACGGTAAACGGCAATGGTAGAGATATAATTTTCTTTAAACTACGCAGTGTTACTCACTCTTTGAAGACGAAGAACGGCTGGAAAAAGAAATGTCCTGTGGCGCACAGTTTCTTTTACAACTTTTGGTGGTCGCAGAAAGTAACAGGAAACAAGAAATTAACTTCCTCCTGAAAAAAAACAAACAAACATACAAAATAACCACGAGCAGGCCTTGAATGTGCAAATTAAATATACAAGTACATGTAGAGTTCTCGAAGATGATGATAGCATCAGTTACTGTTCATGGTGACGCAGTTTCCGTTTTTAGAACACAAGGATGTTCAACGTAGGAGCCGGGATAGCGACTGGCTACGGTCTGGATGACAGAGGGGTCGCGGTTCAAGTCCCGGTAAGGTTAAGAATTTTCTCTTTTCCACGTCGTTCAGACCGGCTCTGGGGCCCACCCAGCCTCCTATCCAATGGGTACCGGGGACTCCATCCCCAGGGTAAAGCGGCCAGGGAGTGAAGCTGACCACTCATCTCCAACTAGTGCAGAGTTCAAGAAAATGTGGATCTATACATCCACTCCCCGATACTCCTTCATGCGCTAGTGTTTAATTAGTTAAGTATAGGGACAGCTTTACCTTAGGGGGTTCAACAAATTATTTCCTATTCCACACTGTAGGGTTATAAATTAATGCAAAAACACGTTATACACATATTTTTTATTTTTATAAATAAGACGCTTTCTAGCCCGCCTGTGTCGTATGCAACTTTGTCGGGCGTCCTGTTGCCTGGTAGTTTCCATCCTTTTATGTAATGTTTTGAACGCCTTCAGCGCTTTATTGTTCGTCTTTTAATTCGGTGTACTAAGTATAATTTGCGTTTCTAACAGCCTTTCGGGTCCCAGTTCCAGTATCACACTGAAGCTACTCGGTCGGTACACAAAACCCAGGTTCCGGTATCCGCACAATGGCAGTAGAGCAACTTCCGATTCAGACGTCATGATACCAATTTCATCCATATCCGTTCAGTTGCGCTGAACATACGCGTCTGCTTCCCACCAAGCCGTAATTTTAGGCTCCTCGTACACACATGACGTCAGAAGTAACTTGATTTCAAATACCTACGAGTTTCGTCCAAATCCTGGGATTTTCTTCCTTCTGCCTGTCATGAACAAACTCGGCCATCGGTCCATAAATGTTATGTAATCATTCAATGACTAAATGTCATCAAACCACAAAAAATCACACAGATATGAATCCAGGGCAAATGTTTTGTTCTGTAATGCTACCACGGCAAAGGTTTGCTTGAGGGAGTCCCTGTTGTAATCGTGGGAAGTATTCGTTCTTAAGAGTATTAGGCAGACATGCTGAACGCAAAAATTAGGGAAATCCAGTATCATCAGTCACAACAAGAGAGACTTTTTGATCGTGCTTTATTTGGCAGCGTTGTATGAAGGTCTTTTCAATCTTATATTTTCGTCCTCTCTTTGTTTCTTCGGCAGTAACCAGGCGCCATGGGCAACTGAGAGCTTAAGGTTAAGGTTAAGGTTCACTGCAGTGCACAAGTAACTGTACACAGCCACGGGCATGGCCGCCCACAGAGGGGCTTCCTCGCACAGTACTCGGCACTTTATTTACCTCATCACAAGTCATTAAAACAAGAAGTTTGTACTAAATGTAATGCATCAAGGAAAACAATGACTATAGGCATGCGCTTCGTGCTGAAATGCCGAACCCATTGTTAACCTGGAACCAAAGTTTTTATGAGGTCACTGATATACAGACTTGAATTCAAAGAACGGATCTGAAAATAAATAAAGATGCGATATTCTTAAGCATAATGAGCCTCGTGTGAATGCGCGAATCATAATTAAATACACACCACAGGGACCAGTGGTCATACAATAGTCCAGGGATCGTTCATGCCGGTCCACAAGTTGTATTAGAGGATATTTACCTTGCCACAGACGAAAGAAAATACATTTTATAATTACCTGCTCCATTTTTCGATTTATCTTAGCAACCACAGGGAAACCTATTTATGTTGATTACCTGTAACTCCACTACAATTAGGCCAATTTACAGAAAGTAATGTCAAATTTCCCATATGTGTCACGTGGTCAGCGCAACGAATCCCCACGGCCGCTAATTTCGGTTCTCTAAACCGGAGACGCTATTTCCTTGAAATAGCTTCTCAATTATCCTCACGAGGTTGAGTGGACCCCATTCCAGAAAATCTAGTAGTGCTGGAAATCGAAGCCGGGACCTATGGATCTGTAGCCAGGAAATCTGAACACTAGACCACAGAGGCGGTCTTTAATGAACGATCAAGAAATATAAATAGAGCAACCTTATAATAAACTGAATAACAAGAAATAGCACCATCTAATGGATTGTTACTTAAAAAAATATAGATCGGAAAGAAATCTGAGAAAGGACGTTCAGCAGGCACATATAAGGAGAGATGAGGAGAGATTCGTCTGCATAGACTGGTACAAAAAAAAAACTGTCGTGTTTCTGTTTGACCAAAATATAAAAGTTAAACTAGACGCAGAAACATGGCATGAAATCAAGACGGTGGACAAAGTGCAAAACACGGCGTTGGTCATGTGGTCTCGTGAAAAAGCGGCCAAATATGGCAGCTGGCGAACTTCGCAATTCTCACTGTAAATAGCATGTGTTGAACTAAAGGCCTGCTATACTCTTTATTTCCTCCTTGCCTCTGCGGTGTTTAACATTTTAAGAATTAAAGACTTCTGTACATATTCATATTTTTATATCTGATAAATAATGTCCGTGGTCTTCCTGCAAAAGACAGATGGGTTCACTCTCACAAACGGAGCAAGTTCAGGTTAGAAAACATATGCCTAATTTCCTATTGCAGACTTCCAGTCCTGCTGATCTTGTGTTACTGATGTCTCGTTAAGACAGCGTATATTTATAATCCGAAATTAAATCACAATTCGTTCATGCACTAGCGTTTTGGATTTGCGGTATATGAGCGTAACATTGTATCCTTGTGAAGTCAAACCCTTATATGTTACAGTTCATTATTCTTTCTGTAAAGAACATATTCTTTAAGTATAGATTCGGTGTAATTTAAATTTGTCGGGCATAACCTCTACATTTTGGATACTCGCCACGTTTTTAACTGTTGATTAGTAAACAATATTTCGTATAAAATATGTAGGTNGAAGATGGAGGCGCTACGTTCCTCCGAAACGTCGGCCAAAACGAAGAATACACGGTGCCTAAACCCAGAAGACAACTTTCTTCAATCTGTAGGTATGTTTATGATCTATCTCCACATCAAATTTCACAAGTTTAGCTCCTATGATTCAGTAGTTATCCCCATCAAACCGAATGATAACGCAGTTCTAATGCAGCTGCCATTTTCTTGCTTTACATTCCCGAATAAATAAAATAATAAAAGGTGCATATTTCTTGAATATGTTACTATACGCTTTTACGAAAATTATTTACGTGCATTTTACAAAACAGGGGTCCATACTGTCTAAACTTCCTGTACTGTTATAAAAACCACGGGTTTGTAAGTGAGAGTGGCAGAAAAATACTTCCAATTCCGGAAATGACGAAACAGCTCCTCACCATCAGACCGCTGAGGAGTCTATTCCGAGAACTCCAATAACAAAAAATAGTCCACAACGACCAGGAAAATCTTTTGGATTCTTATCGTCTCTTAGAAGTCTATTACTCAGAACAAGAAATAAATCGTATGACATCTACCAGCAAGACAATGCAAGATAGATATGCACATTGCCAGAAAGCATGCGCCCACATTATTCAGACCGTAACAGCCTCTTTCTAAGAACGTCAACTTAACAATGAAAACAGCGGCCTCCGTAGTCTAGGGGTAACGTTCCCACCTCATGACTCAAGGTACGCGGGTTCAAACCCGGCGGAGGTCGTGGAATTTTTAAGGGCGGAAAATTCAGGGAACAAGTCCTCCGGGAGGGACTTTAAGCCGTGGGTCCCATGTCGTAGATTTACGGCACGTAAAAGATCCTCATGTCTCTAGGAGACCTCTGAGCTAAATTTGGCAAAATGTTTCCTGCCCAAGTAGTTTCCAATGCCTCCGGTAGATGGGGGAAGTATTAGGTACCACTGCCAGAGGGGGGACCTCCCTGACAGAAAGGGACTAACTATTAGATACCACTGCCAGAGGAGGTTGGAACCTCGCTGGCAGAAAGGGGCTGATAGTAAGGACCAGTACCGGTAGGGTATGGAGACAGTAGAAATTAAAGGGGGACGCACAATGGACCATTAATCGGTCTAAGTGCATGGGGAAACCCACCCCCTCAATACGGAATACGGAATAACAATGAAAACGCTAAGTATGGGTGTCTGCCTTAGTCCAGACAAACTGAAAATTCATAACATTAGATAACCAAATAAATAGAGACAAAAATGTGTCTAGCATCACGTGAAACTGAAGACCGTCAGACAAGCTGGTCACAACACACTGAGATAACCTACCAAATTTTGTAACATACCTTATTCAGCGATACGATAATGTTATGGAACCATCTATGGAGAACTGTTAACTCTGAGTTCAGAGCACATACCTAATTTGGAGACGAATTTGGTTTCGTACGAGGAAGTATGGAAATTACTTTGTACGGAACGAAGACAAACAGAACACTGAAGAATGCACTAGAATTCAAACCACCGAGGGATGAAAACCATAGAAATCACAGGCATCCGATAAGAAGACAGAGAGACCAACTGCATCTGCAAACTTGACGAAAATAATTCGGATACAACATCGTATTGTGAAAACTGTTTCATGGTTCTTTCAGTATCGAGTTATGAGAGCTCCTGATGTCAGATGCGCTGCGACTGGCTACATTCCAGGCACAGGTGAAACACCTGTTGGCAGGATACAGTCATTATCGTTAGAGTGATCACTGTCCATGGGATGGTAACATACTTCCCGCTTTCGCTCTACAATGAAGACATCTTAATCGAAAATATTAGTCTGTACGAGGAAAATTCCCGTTTTCCTAAAGTCATTCACGGCAATTTTCACAGCTGCAGACCGTAAGTATGATTTAAACCCCAGCCCCCCACGTGCAGTTTGGTGGGATGTAACAATATGATCTGGACGTATTTCCAGCCACATGGTGACTTCACCGTAGTAACGCCTGAAGACGCTAGTGAAT